AATTGTATTTTATATGATTATTTAACTGTTGTAAGCCGTTCTGAGGCTGCGCAAAGGATGGGATAGAAATGTTTTAAATAAATAAATAAATAAATAAATGGACAATGGGGCAAATGATGCTAAATGATTATTTTGCTTCTGTGTTTTTCCCAAAGCAGGTTGGGAAAGATCTATCTATGGGGCTGGATGACATAGGGGTTTTGGGGCCACAGATTGGAGTCACTCCTTTAGAAGTTAAGAAGCTTCTCAGGGCCCTGGATGTTACAAAAGTACCCAGTCCTGACAGGTTACACCTGAGAGTACTTCAGGAAGAAGCAGGGGTACTCTCACATTCGATGGCCTTCAGTTTTGAGGACTTGTGGAATTCAGAAGAAGTACCAGAGAATTGGAGGATAGTGTCACTGGTTCCAGTCTTCAAAAAGGGTAGCAGAGGAGACATGGGTAATTACAGACCGGTTAGCCTAACGTCCATTCTGGGAAAGACATTGGAAAAGTTCGTAATCAGGAAAGCTCAAGAAACCCTAGATAGGGGAGGGAACTTGGCAGCCATGCAACATGGCTTCCACAAAAATAGGTCCTGTCAGAGAAACCTTGTGGAATTCTATGATAAGGTTTCGAGGTAGCTAGACAGAGGGGCCACAGTGGAAGTGGTTTACCTGGATTTCAGGAGGGCCTTTGACAAGGTGCTACATCATATCCTGTTCAAGAAATTGATGAGCTTTAGGATAGATCAATGCACTGTCTGATGGATTGGAGCATAGTTGATGGACCCCAAGCAGAAGGTGTCGATCAGTGGAGAATCATCAGGATGGCAGCCAGTGACGAGCGGACTCCCCCAGGGCTCGTTTCTGGGCCCAATTCTGTTCAATCTCTTTATCAATGATCTCGAGGAGTGGATAATCAGTCTGCAGATCAAATTTGCAAACAATACCAAAGTGTGGCCAGTGGCCACAAGTGGCGAGCAGGTAATCCAGTTCCAAAAGGATCTGGACAGACTGTGGAAGTGGGCAGAGGATAACAGGATGGCATCCAATATGGATAAGTACAAGGTCTTGGAACTGAGGAATATGTGCCATATTTACAGGATGGGGATAAGTGGCTGGAGATCGGCACTTGTGAAAGGGATTTAGCAGTACTTATCAATAGCAGGCTAAACATGAGTCAGCAGAGTCAGTTAAGAAAACAAATGCTACCCTTGGATGTATAGTGAGAAGCATGGCTTCCAGATCGAGAGAGGTGCTATAGGACTCTGGTGCACCCACAACTGGAGCACAGTGTTCATTTCTGGGCTCCACATTATAAGAGAGACATAGCTAGATTAGAATCAGTTCAGCACAGGATCACAAGGATAGTAGCTGGATTGGGGGTGGGGGGATGCCATATGAGGTGAGATTGAGGGAGCTGGGTCTTTTCAGCCTGGAGAAGAGGGGATCTTATTGTGACATATAGGTATGTGAAGGGGTGTCACACAGTAGAGGGTCATGACCTGTTGTCCCCTGCGGTGGAAGAAAGGATGCGGTCTAATGGGACAAAGCTCAAGGAACTGGGCTTCATTATTTAATATTATGTACTATACTTTCGAAAGCATGCAAATACAAGTAGATAAAAAGGTACCACTTCGGTGGGAAGGTAACTGCATTATGTGCACTTCGGTGTTTAGTCATGCCGGCCACATGACCACGGAGACTGTCTGCAGACAAACGCTGGCTCCCTTGGCTAGGAAATGGAGATGAGCACCACCCCCTAGAGTCAGGCATGACTGGACTTTAATGTCAAGGGGAAACCTTTACTATATTTTTGCATTAAGTAACTTAGTTTTGATTTTGTATTGCTCTGTTGTTAATATTGTATTTGAACTTATATTTGCTTTGCTTATACTATTATATTTATACCCATTTTGTATTTTTGCCTACTGTATTTTTTTTGCTCATATTATTGTATTTGTACTGATTTTGTATCTTGATTTCTAGTAAGCTGCCCAGAAAACAGCTTAAGATATAGAGAAGCATACAAATGTAACCAATCAATCAGTTTCCAAACATTGGTAAAAACCAAGTGTCCAATGCATCTTCATCCCTCTTGCGATGAAATGCTATCATAGATCACTCTGGGACATACTTATCTGTGTGCTCAACTGCTTATTATTTTACAATAAATGAATAAATATTTGTTCATGTATTGTGGCTCTCAAACATTTGACATTTAATATATGTGGCTCTTGCATTGAGCAAGTCTGGCCATCCCTGGCATAGACTGATCTTCTGAAATTATTTGGTGCTCCAGTGGCCAGATTGCAATCTCAAATACCTCTTGTTTCATTTTGCATTGTTCTGTCATAGAGTTTTCCAGGTAAGAAATATTCAGTAGTGGCTTACCATTGCCCTCTTCTATGCAACATTAACCGTCACTGCCACCAGTATTGAATTTAATTACCACTGCTACTCAATAGCATCTCTTCAGGAATTTCTCTTCCTCTACCACAGTTAGAAATATCTATTGTCTTTTGTGGATGTAACCAATTCTCCTGAGGAGTGTGGCTGCATCTTATTCTGGTGTTTCTGTTTTGACCATTCTGCCTTGGCTGACCCTGCTCAGAGGCCTGCCTAGTGAGAGAGTCTGGCCTCCTAGCCACATTGCTTTTGGCTTCTCTGAACCTCTCTCTCTATATTAAGGTATACATCCAAGAGAGGGTTTGGACTATTTGTTCTTCAGTGTCTCCAGTTCACAATGCTTGTATATTTGCAAATCAATAAATCAAAGACATAATCAGTGTCCAATGTTCTTTCTCATCCAAAGAAAGCTTAACACTTCAGAGCTACCCACAAACTCACTCTTTGGAGCAGTGGGAAATATTATATTTATTCATAACTGTTCTTCTATATATCACTTCCACAAAAAATGCTACATGGAGGGTATGATATCAATACCTGCTGTTTACATATTTGTCTGAATTTCAAATGTGGGTCTAATACATGCTTCCCAAATGATGATTTCTGTTGCAGGAAGGCCTTGTTGGAAAGCATCCTGAACAAAAAATATAAAGTAGGCAGAGCATTTCCTAATCCCTTTTCTGAAGTGTCCCAGCTAGTCACAAATGAATTTGGATTTTATTATTAGCACAGCCTGGGGCAATGACCAAAGGTCTGAAACACACACAATTAAAAAGAAGAACCTGCTTCCTAGTTAATCCTCCTCCTGGCTGCCATCTGTCTCCCAGTCACATGATGCCTCCCAGCTGAGTCTCTGTGAGATGTCCCCTGCCAGAATACCATGCATTTTACTAGTCCTAAAAGGGGTTATTCTATATAGTACTACCAGAGCTGTTCAAAGGTACTTTTTGTTTGGGTGATGGATTTGTCTATAGAAGTGAGTTTCTTGCATTTGGTCTCTTTATATAGGAAATTCCAACTTTCCCCCCATTAAAAAAGGTACCACTTAGTTGAGAATGGCTCTGCTTATAACCCCAGAAGAAACATTTTCTGATCTCCTCTTCTATCAGGATCTTATTCTTTTTCACAGTTGTTCAAATTGAGAATATACTTAATGTACAAGATACGTAAGTATGCACTGAAACACATGAGACTGTTTCCTGGTGATTAAAAACCTGAGTGTATTAACACTTGCTCAATCATCATTCTCTAGGAAACTCCCAGCACTGAGAAATGTATTGTTATCTTAAAAATTAAAGCATACAGAATCTTGCTGTCTGGAATTTCTTTTCAAATGTAAGCAGCAGTTTCATCTTTAAACTACAACAAAAAAAAGTCTTCTTCATTAGCCATCAGCATTCCTACAAAGGATAATTTGCACAAATCTTAGAGAAAGAAGTGAACACATCATATTTGGAACAACACATACTATGAAATGGTGCTTCAGGGAAATTAAATGGTGTGTTGCCATTATTAACAGGGAAGAGGATTTTGCATCCTATGAAGAAAACCACCATGAAAATGCAGCAATTTATTTACAGTTTTTAATCCTTATGCCATTCCCCTCCCCCCTTTACACAATAAATAATCTTTATGGGTTTGCCATAAGACAGTTTTAAAGTGTGTTAGCCGCAGTTCTGAGGCAGCAGCTCACTACTGAATAAAATACTCCAAACACCATTCGAACTGTTTAGAGTGCACATACATATGTGGTAATATGAACCTACAAAAGGCAAATTTATACCGACAGGGCTGCTGGATGAGCTTGCTTTGCAGTAGGAAAGCATCTTGGAACCCAAATTAGCCTGCCTCCCTCTCTCTCTCTCTCTCTCTGTCACACACACACGCGCACGCACACACGCACACTTATATGTCAAGGCAAATGAATGTGCATGTTCCTGAAATATGGATCTGGAACCATTGTACTGGCTTAAATGATTCTTATATTGCTGGAATACTTCAGATGTTAACTCTCTTTCACAAAGGTGTGAGACGTTTTAAAGGCCATTGTTGTTAAGCGTTCTTCTTTTGCGTACATGGCCTTAGTCTTTGCCACCTCCTAGCGAGACTGTCAAGGAACAACTTAAAAGCTCACTGAGGCAACCATGACCCCCTGCCTGCAGCAGATAGCCGGAAAGGTAAGAAAAGCCTAAAAAGAAGTAAAAACTTAAAAGCAGCTTTCTCAAAGGCTGCATAGGTTTGTTGTTTTTGTTAAACCTAAAGTGGTTAAAAGCTTTAATATTGATGGCCTGTCAACTTTGTCCTGATTCTTTGGCTTTCAGTTAAAAGGTTTTTGTTGTTGTAGCTTATGCAGTTGCTCTGTTGCTATGGAAACGTGACATCAAAATGACGTTTCTCTGTTTAAAAGCTTTTAACTAAATTCCTGCCTGTCAGATGTAGGCCCCATTTTGTGCACTCAAGCTTCAAGCTGTTGCAAAGAGGTTTCATGTGTTCTGTTGTCATTCAAATCTTGTAGCTTCATATGCATGCCTTGCACAGAAAAATCCTATACTAAAAACTAAAATCTATATTAAGTGTTCTCTTTTAAAACCCCTTTTAGGTCAATCAGCAATGGCTGCAGCAGAAATCCCCAGTTATATTGTTTCTTCTCAGACTGAAAAGCACAGGAGGGCCAGGAATTGGACTGATGCAGAAATGAGAGGCTTAATGCTGGTTTGGGAAGAATTTTTTGATGAGCTGAAACAAACTAAAAGGAATGCCAAAGTTTATGAGAAAATGGCAAACAAACTATTTGAAATGACTGGAGAAATTCGTCATGGAGAAGAAATAAAGATAAAAATTACTAACATGACATTCCAGTACAGGTAAGCTTCAGTTCATTCCTTTTATTCTGAGATAGATTTATAGAAACTAATCAGGTACTTTCCTTGTTGAAAAGATTTTCTAAAGAAAACCCATAGCAGAAAGATGAAAGGTTTTTCATAGTGCTCTTAAAAATCACTTACCATCACCATATTTCATTCTTTATGTTTTCCTTTTTTATTTTCAATTGTTAACTTAACTTTAGTGGTTGCTAATTACTTATTTGTTAAAGAAGATGCAAAGATAGTATGATTTTGTTGTCTACATTCTCATATTAACTTCCATTTGAAAAAAAAAAAACCTATTGCAGCACAGATTAGTTTCCAATTAATCTACTCAATGTAAAAACTAAATAAGTTAAGGTAAAATGATTTTAAATGGAATCACTCAATGTTGCCATTGCAGATTGAGGTTGTTACACTTCAGAAGACTAAAATATCTTCATGCCTCATCTCTGAGTGACACACTTCCCCCTAACTGGAACCAGCATTAGTAAATGAACAATTACATTTGCAGAAAGAAATCAGTGCATACTGTAAATAAGGGTTCCAAGTGGGGGTGGGGGCAGAAGGCAAATGTATCTCAAGCAAGATAATACAATGTACTTAGTGTGCATCGGAAAGGAAAGTTAGCTTAAGAAAATGAAATATTTGCAGGTCTGACAAAAAAACAAAAATGGTTTCATGATGTTGAGAAGCAGTTTCTTATCTTCTTGATACATGAACTATCAGATCTGCTTTTAGTTGTGGGCTATTTTGAGACAGCATGTTATAGAAGGGAGCTATAATTCATGCATATCCAGTAAGTGGTTCCTTTATTTAATCTTTTCAATGCTCAATTTAGTAATAATCCACAAGTTACTTATGAAAGTCATCCATGTTAGTTTCCTTATTTTTTTTCTTACAGTATCATTCTTTAATAAACAACACATGCTGTAAGCATTTTAAAATTTTAATCTTCATTCTCTGTTTTAGCTTCATCATTGTAAGACTGTGTCCTCTTAAGTTAGGATTAGTATTCTGTATGAAACCTTGAATATTCTCAAAATGGTGTGTACGCATTTACCTGTCACTTTTGGAGAAAAACTCTAAGAGCTTTTGCAGAAATGTACACTAGAACACAGATATTATTATGAACTTAAAGTCTGATAACAAGAGAGTTAGTAGTTGAAGGCCTAGCTTTCTTTCTAAATTGGAATGGCTTCAAAAACAGAGGAAGAGGAGTTGAACATGCTCTGTTTCTTTCTCAGATGCATTTATGCATGGCCAGTAAAAGATATATCCAAATTTCTATCTGCCAAGTCTTGAAAATATAGTTGTTGGTGATTTAGGGCCATCCTCTAACCTTGCCTTTCTTATCCCTTCTCTACTACTAGATCCATGATGAAACTGTAGTTTAGAATGGCATGATGTAAACTGTTCCATTTTTTCCTGCTAGTAACCTTACATTATGCTAAAAATGAAAGCATTAAAATATTTTCTGGCTGATTTCCTACTTTAAATATTCCGCTCTATTTATAGATGCTTATCTGTAATTGTTCATCAAGTTTGAAAGACCTCAATTCATTTGCAAAGAAAGTGAGATATTGCCAAGAGTTCTGCCTTGAACAAGCAGCTAAGGTTCTACAAAGCTTATTAAAGTTCAAAAGTAAAGTTTTCTGCAGGGATTGCATTGCACCTCTCACCTTTGGGTTCAGCAGCACTTGACAATTTGGTTCTAGTTCAGCTTAGCACATGTTTCATAAGGGGTTTGACACATCTGAACTACTTAGTTCTAGTTCATGAGGAAAGACATAAATATCATTATTTTTGGTCACATAAATCATCCATGGCATCTATGGTTCTAGAAGGGTCTTTTTCCTGGGATATATAAATGGCAAATAATATCAGCCTGAGGATTCCTTATCTTCCCCTTTCTTTTTGGCCCTTCCAAAAATGGAAAATAATCATTTTTCATGGATAAAAATAAGCATTATTAAGCATGCATGGAAAAATAAAGGGGGCATTTTGTAGCACTTCTTAGAATTTATACTATCTAATCTTGCAATCGGGCATGTACATAATTGAAGAAGCAAACAATTATGCAAGAGGAATAAAGTGGCTAGTATGTTGAATCAGGTTCTTAAAAATTACTAGGAATCATGGACATGATACAGATCTTACACTAGGCCTACATGCAATATGTATTCGAATTCTCCCTGATATTGGTTTTATGTTCTTGTAGTTCATTCTGGCTAGGATACTATCACATCGGGATTTTCCTCATGTTTGAAAGTGGCTGAGAAGCAATTCAGGTATTGATTCTGTTCCATTTCATAAAAAAACAAGGAGTAGAGTCTAGATTTCAGTTCAACGTCACTTTGACTCCCAGATTGTAAAGTGCAGTGCAGCACAGGTCAAGCCCATTCTAAGCTAATTGGTAAAATATTAACCAAATTGCTAATTCATTGATAATTAATGTCAACAAACGAACAAACCACTGAGCTGTATGGTAAACTGTTTTGCTTTGCTTTTGGAACACGATTATGTTCCAAAATTTATTTTTTATTTGCAATAATTTTATTTATGAAATTTCAACGAAAATAAGCTTAAGAATGTACAGTAAAATGGGGATATCAGAATTCAAAGAGGAAGTGGGAGTAAATATTACATATGATATGTCTGTCACAGTATTATAAATTATAGTGCTGCTGGACTGCTCAAAGTTATTTTATAGTATACTGATTGTTGTGACCCAGGTTCTCCCCTCCTTCACATTTCCAAAACACAGACCATTTTTTGGCTAAAGCTTTTCCAGTAAGCACAACCAACAAAGAATGTCTCTGAGCATGCCCAGAGCTCATCAATGAACCCAGTCTAGTAACTACGTCAAAGCATTCTCCTTTTGAGTACCCTTGGGTCACCTCCCTCTGGAGATGGGAAAAACCTCTCCTCTGACTGTTGCCCCTCTAGTTGGTTGGCCCATTTCTCCCAGCATCGTGTCATGGGGTCAAGAGTCAAGCTAGGCTTGGCTGCCTGCAGCTCTTCTCCCATGCTCCCTCCCTGCAGGTGTAAATCCCGACTATTCTCAATGTTCACCTGAACACCTGGGGAAAGTGCCCTTGAGGTAAAGCCCCTCAAGTTCTCCCATTTCAGTGTCTGAGAATTCTCATTCCCAGGGCACCTCGTCATCTGATGTGTTCATACCGGTCTGACCTGGGAACTCAGGCCAAGAATAACTGTAACTTTGATTCCCAACAAAGTTATAGTTGCAGATGTTCACATCTGAGCAACTGGGCAATGCAACTGTTAGTTTTATATTATGAAAATAAGTACCAAGCAACTTCTTATGTTGAACACATATTTTCCCTTGCATGCTTATTTTTCTGCTTGAAATAGCTGCTCTAAGAATGGACTGTGATCAGGACTGAGACCATGGCAAGGAAGAAGCAAATTTCAACCCAATACTCTGTGGCTTGATTCTGATGAGATCACCCTTCTGAAGTTATTTCAGTTGGAATATAAACTGGCTTTTCATGTCAAAGAAACTTCCTTCCTAAAACACACAGCAGTTTCAGGGTGCAAGGTGATTTTTGTCAGGATTGTGGTGTGGGGGGTAAAGTACTTTTAAAAACCCACAATACTTCACCAGAGTGGCAGCTCTACTCAGCTATTTAAAGTAGAACAATTAACACATAAGGCCAAGCCACACATTTAACATAACATTTGGCCCTGAGTTTTTAAATTTTAGATTAATGATATATTGTGGTTTAGCTTACAATACATTAAGGCTGGTTTGATACTTTAAGGAAAAATGGCAAGCAAGAGATATCGTTCCCTCCCTAACCCTTGCATCATGTAACCATAGAGGGAATGACCAGGAAAATAAAGGAGCACACCCAACCCCAGTTTTGTGCTGGAACTTGTAGCAGCTTTAAAAAGAAAAAAGAAAGTGTGGAACACATGAGGTAGTTGTAGGAGACTGGCACTTATTCCAACCAAGTATATAGTTGAAAAATAAAACTATGTGTTATAGTTTATATAAAACTATATACAGTAATGTGAAATGGTGGGGAGAGGCTGAAATTAAGGCATGCTTAGTGTTTATGACAGAATCTACAATTTACTATTGTTAAAATTCTTGTTTCAACAACATTAGTACAAAACTTTCTTCCTGGATTTACTCACATGTATGAAACTGGGTGCTCATGACAGTATTTCCATGGCCTTCTTATAGATTACTGAGTAAAGCTTTCTTTGAAGGCTCCTAGGAAGATCTATTCAATGAAAACAGTACCACAATTTTATTTTTTCCTGTGTGCAATTCAGGGTGCTGTTTTTAACCTACAAATCTCTAAGCAGCTGGGCTACATCCTCTCCTAAATCCTCCTGAAATTTGTCATAAGCATTTTAAATATAATATAACCAGCGTGATGGGTAAATTGACATTCTTATTGGCAGTGTCAATCCAGACTATTTCCCATCAAAAGTTCACTACTACACATGCAAGTTGGCTATTTGTGTCTGCTTAGTGAATGCGTTAGTTGAGATTGCTTAATGAACTTAACATTTATTGTGTTGATTTCGGCTAAAAAAGTAGTTTGAAGACATTATGATATGATCTTTTGCCTGAAGCTAAGCAGGTCTGGCTGGACCTCTAATATTCCTGCATGGCATACTGGAACTAGATGTAAACTCCTGTAAGGTTCTTGTAGGACAATTTGGGGTATAAGTGCAACAAATACATTCTTTTCTTCTTAATATTAGTTGTCCTAAGTTTTCAGGCCAGACAAGAATAACAAATTAATGAATTAAAAATTCAATATTAGAAACATCTTGAGCTATTCTGTTTCTGTAACATCTTTATGCAATCTAGAACAGACAGTCTTTTTACACTGAAGTATCCTGAATCTTGTTAATTCACTGGCAGTTGATGACTTGAAACAAAATGTTGTATTTTGGGTCCTACAAGGAATGCTCCTGTTTGGTGCTCCAGGAAATATTTTATGCTACTTGGGAAAGGA